CTCTGCACTGTTCAGCAGTCTAACCACTAACCTCATATGGCTATTGAGCTCTTGAAATGTGGTTGGTATGACTGAGGGGCTGAATTTTTAATTTTAGCTAAATTTAAGTAGATACACTGATATTAAAATTCTTCCTCAAAATTTTTTCTATTACATTTTAGTCAATACACTGTAAGTTTACTTACCAGGATGTAACCATGAGACTGACATAAGTTAAAATGAGGGAGTGTTTTTTGGATTCTAAGTGAGGCCCAAATTTCCAAAAAAAAGTCACTTAGGATTTTATTACCTGGTTACATTTAGCCCATGAATGCACATGATAAAACTAATATTCTCTTTTCCACTAGTTATGCTGTTAGTGGATAAGAACTGACACTCCAAACAGAATAAGAAAATGATTTCAATTTATCTGTAGAAATAAAGAAGGACATAAAAACTAAAAATTCTTAAAAATTTAAATGCCTACTAAGGGTCTTCACTTAAATGTTTTATTAAGCAACTCAAGCCAAACATTTCCCCAAATAAACTCCTGCTCTCCCACACTTCATAGCACACCCCATCCCCAAATCCCTGCAGCTCACTCACTTATTATTTACAACTCAGAAAATGGCCAATCGTTCCCATTGCCCAGGTCTAAAACCTTGTGTCATATCCTTGACTCCAGTCTTTCTCCTACACCCCAAATCCAAACCTAGCACATTCTATTTTGTCCGTCTAGATAGAGCTGTCCCCCAGCTCTATCTGCATGACTTGAATTTCTTCTTCATCAAATCTTTCCTCAAACGACACCTTAGTGAGGCCTTCTCCCCTACAGCTGCAAATCTACCACCCCATACTCCCTATCCTTGTTCCCTACTTTGCCACTTATCATGTGACATATATTTTCTTTGTCTGCTCCCACAAGAAGTAAGCTTCAAGAGAGAATAGATATTTGCTTCTCATTGCTGTATCCCCAGTGTCCGGCACATAGAAGACAGTCAAATGTCAGTTGACTGTTTCCACAAATTATACATACATTATACATGCAAATGACATACTCAGGGTTGCAAAGGAAATATACTTAGAAATAACTGATGCGTTAGGGTAGTGGACTGAATTTTTTAACAACAACAAAATAGGCAAAAGAACAATTATTAGCATTGTTTTAAGCGACCAATACAGCATTTGAAGTCTAGTCAGAATAAATCTTTCACAAACACTTTGGTTTGGACATCCCTGCTCTAGCAGACAACCTTTCTCAAGCTCATCCACTCCTGCCCCCTTCTCTTCCTTTCACCACGGCATAAAATTATCCCAATAAAAGTAGAAAATAAACTCTAATGTAAACATTTAATTGTCACATTCCCTGGATTAAACAGGCTCGCAGTTGTTTTGAATTAACATTTCATAAGCACGTTATCAGTCTATAGTCATGAACTATCTATTTTCCATTTCTAAAGACCTGTGATGTCCAACATGTGGCATCAAGTTCATTTAAATAACACAAAAATCCAGTTCCTCAGTTGCACTAACCACATTTCAAACATTCGATGCCCCATGCAGCTAGTGGTTACCGTATTGAACGGTACAGCTAGTGGTTACCGTACTGAACGGCACAGATATTTACGTGACAGGCAGCTCTTCTGGGCAGGTCTGCTAGAGATTTTTTTCCTAAAATTTTATTCAAAGTATAAAAATGATTCAACTGAAACACTGGCAGGGTTTAGTCTTGTAATTTTCAGTTCTCTATGTCAGTGATTCTCAAAGTGTGGTCCCCAGACCAGCAGCAGCGTATTACTTAGGAACTTGTTGGAAATGTGAAATCTTGAGCCCCAGCAATTGGTCTTAATTTGCTTTAATGAGCTCTCTGGGTGATCCAGCAGATTTTGAGGCATACTCAAGCTTTAGACCAGGGTTGGCAGTCACTTTAGAGCAGTTATCAATACAAACATAAGCTCTGAGGTATTATGAATGTATCATTACAATCTAAAATAATCTATAAATATCAACTGTGAAATCATACTTCTATCATGTCTTGTAGAAGAAAAACCTCAGTAGGTATTTTCAATAAAATTAATATAAAATATTAAAATGAAACTAATCATGAACCTTATTTGATTAAAAAAAATTAAAACTGTATTTGCTTCCTCTTCCAATTTGCAGATCCATATTCACTTCAGCATCAGCGTTATCACATTTTAATCTTTTTCTACAGATTCAGTTAGAAGCCTTTAAGTGAGGAAGAATACACAGTGGTGCAATTACCAGGAAAGAGTGAGAAATTTTCAATGTATGCCAACTGAAATTTTTATGTGAGCAAATGTTAGTGTTATTAGTGAACTATTAAATAAATATGAAATCTATTGGCTCAAATTAATTCATCTAGAAGTTGAAGCTAAAGTTGCAAAAGTGTTATGAAAAAGGTTAAACAATCTACCTACATTATTTCCTCTTATTAATCATAGAACTAGTATAGAACTAAGTATCAACATCCATGTATGTTAAATATTTCTCATTAAATTTTCTGACAGGAAAACAGCCTTAGAAATTTCAGCTAAGAATACATTTAATGAAATAAATTAAAATAATTACAAAACCACTGGGAAAAGATCTAGTTTTGGCTTACTTACTACAAATTTGGCCCAAAGAGGAGGGTCTTCAAGAGCCTGATTAATTACAAATTTCTGCAACAGCCAAGTGTTTACTGAGATAACCTGCTCGTGGAAAATTACTTAATCACAATTCAAGTACAGAATGTTTCAGGTGCGTAGGCACAAGATAATTTTAAGAAGTTTTATTAAAATATTTACAACATATTGAACTTCTGGTCTACGCGAACCTAAATCACTCTTAACACTGCCACTGCACATAAATTTACATTTCCAATCAAGTATCCTTCCATAAAGTGAATACTGGCAATGTTAGGCAGGGCTTTTAAACCTAAACATTCTTTGAACATATCTATATATATATCGCTAAGTTGTTTCAGTCATGTCCGGACTCTGCGACCCCGTGGACTGTAGCCCGTCAGGCTCCTCTGTCCATGGGATTCTCTGGAGGGCAAGAATACTGGAGTGGGGTGCCGTATTCTCCTCAAACATTCTTTACTAAACACTAAGGACACAATCTCTAACTTTGGAACATTGTGTTTCTTAAAACAAACAAAAAACAAATGACTAACATTAAGTACTAACCACGTGCCAGCCAATGTTACTTATTTCTCTCACTAACCTTGGTATTCCTAGCATAGATCCAAGCATATAATATATACTTAATTGGCATTTATTTTTTAAAAAGTAATGATAATTAAGATGAAGGGACTCAAAGATACTAAAAAAAAAAAGAGAAAAAAGTCCCGGCCCTCAAGGAGATTATAAATCGAATTCCGAAACATGACACACGAAAAGCTAAACAACCTATAACAATTAAAAATACCACGTGGCAGGACCGTGATTATTTGCAAAGTCAGTGGCAAAGAAGAGTGCTGTAAATTTCTGACCAAAGAGACAGTATTATAGACTGCGGTTCTTCTGGTCTCCCGACCAGACGGCGACACTATAGTTCAATTTAAAAAAAGAAAGTGACACAGCACTCATCCCACCCTAAAATTATCATCAGAGGAAGGAATACAATAACTAAAGAGAACGGTGTAAAGAAAACTTCCATAAACAGCTTTTAAAGCATACGATGGCCCTGATAAAAGTGAAAACGTGCCGCAGAACACAATCGTTCGTTGGATCTCCAGGACCTCTGAAGGCTCCTGAAACACAAGTCTCTCAAAGGAGAGCATCCTTCCTCCTTTCCGCCTACGAAGCTTTCCACTGGACAGCCGTCCCAGAAATTTCTCCCAGCATCCGCAGTGACAGCAACTCTCATCTTCCTCTCCCTCCCCCTCGCCAGTATCAGACGGTGGCATCTCCCGCCAGGGGAAAAAACGGAGGGCGGGGGGTGGGGGAGGCAGAATAGGCGAGAAAGCTTGCAGCTAGATCGATTTAGGATGGGGAAGAGTAGGTGTGAGGACGCGGGGTGTGAGGACGCGGGGGTCGAGGACGGGATCCTCCCAGCTCCAGCTCCAGTCTCTAGGAGGCCTGGCCAATATCCCACTCCCCCCACCCCCAACCAGGGCGCGCCCCTCGCTCGCTGGACCTGAACCGGGAGGCGACGGACTCGAGTGACAGCCCCACTACCCGTGCGCCCACCCCCCAGCCCCGTCCCCCAGGCCCGCGGAGAGACGCCTGCCCCCGCCCCACGAGCAGCGGCCCCGAGCTCCTTCTCTGATTCCAGTACACATCGCCGATGAGTGACAGGTCCCGGCGGAGGCAATCTCCAGCGCTCGCTGCTCGGGACCGCGGATGCAACCGTGGGCCGAAGCCCTCCAGCAGGCACGGGGAGTAGACAGAACGTCCCGGACGGCCCCAGGGGACCTGGACCAGGCCTGGCCTTCCCGGGTTGCCCTACACCCGGCGGGGGTGGCACTTACTGCGGAGGTTGTGGATTAGCTCCGAGTGGCTGGCGCCGCCGGATTTCCAGGCCATCGCTAAGCACACCCGGAGCAAGTACAGAACCACCTTCAGCGCGGCGACGGTGCCCAGCAGCTTCCCCAAGAGTGAGACCACCTCCCACACGGTCACCGCCCCGTTCTCGTCCCCGCTGGAGCCGCCGCTGTTACTGCCGTCGTCGCTGCTGCCGCCACTGCGCGCTCCCGGCATCCCCCGCGGCACGCATGCGCTCTGTGACGCCGCGCGGCCTCGGGCGCGGCCGGGTGGGGCCGGAGGCGGGGGTGGCCTCGCGCCCCGCCGCCCGCGCAAGGGGCTGCTGCGGCTGCCTGAGACTGGCGGCTTGGCCTCGCTGAGTCAGCGCCACCGCCGCCACTGCGTGGCCTTTCTGAGGCCTCGGGCTGCGCAGCGCCTCCTTGCTTGGGTTTGCCCTGCGGTCAGGCGGGGTGGGCCCCAGCGCAGTCGGCCGCGTGCCTCGCTGCGGCTCTGGTCACCGAGAACGGTGGCGGGATGGCAGGGCGGGTGTGGTTCCGAGGCTGCCGGTGGCTCTGCAGTCGCCGCTGGGTCAGCTGTTGCGAGTGGCGGGTCTGCACCTATAGCTGTCCAGATTGTTAAACGGTGGGCTTCCTCCGTCCTGCCTTCACCCAACCCAATGAATGACTAATGTATTTAGGTCGGTTAGAGTCAGAGCTCCCTATGGTGGAGCCTGAATATCTTAAACGGAGGGCAGACGTCCTCTCTAACCCGAGTTACTCCAGGGTCTAGTTGACAAGTACATTTAGTGTCTGGTTAGCAGAGACTTTGGGACCCTGATTTGTTCTCAGCTCTAAAGCACAAATTCGGAGAGTGGAAGAATACTGAGACACGGGTTGGAGGGTGGAGTACCGAGAATGCTTTGCTCCTCAGGAAAATGCACTTGCTTAAAAATATTACAGTAGCCTGTGGCAACTATGTTTTTCTCCTAACACAAGTGTGCGTTATTTAAGCCTCACAAATTCCACCATTAGACTGGACTCCGGCTTTGCTGCTATCAGCTATGTAAGACACTGAGTGAAACTGACAAGGAACATTGCCAGTAGAATCCAACTTGCTGACTCCTAATCAGAACTGAGACTGGAACGATCCAGTCATCATTTAGTCCCAATAAACTTAAGGAAGGAAACAAAGCTATGTAAAGACATCGATGCTACTGCGTCAGCAACAATGCTCAAATTTTAGTTCTAACCAGACTGGCAAATGTGGTGTTTATGTACGTATATACGTATATATTTCCAATCCGAAATATACTTATATGTTAACTATTTCGTGGGATTCTGGGATAATAACCGAGGCAGCATTTTTTTACTTCAATATTGGGAATAAATTAGTCAGTTTGGGACTCAAAATTGGAACTGGGGGTCTTCAGAATTACAACTCCAGTTTCTGACTGTGTGTTAGCATTGAAGAAAAGGACTTGCTTGGGGGGAAGGGAAAGAGAGGTTTTGAATAATACATTGTAAGTTAATGGACGTAATTCCACGAGAATTTAAGGATTCTTAAAGGAATCTTTTCTATGCGTGGTGAAATGCAAGCCTACTTAGGTGTGGCTACTAGCTCGTTTCTCTTGCATTGATTTTATTTTGTTTTTGCCCTTAAATTTGTCTTTACATTACAAATTTTTTTGCGCCAATGTATTGTCTCGGTGTTCCTATACCGATTTTGCAGATTAGAAGCTGGTCCTACAGCACAAGGACGGGCATGCTCTTGCCTTGGTTCAGAGCCGCCAGGGTGAGGAAGGGCGCCGTATCTTCTTTGCGTGTGGCGTCGGGTTATTCTTTCCCGCACTGCCGACTGAGGAGAATTGTCTCTCTGCAGCCACCGTCCTTCATGAGCTCCGGTCCAATCAGGGCTCAGCGAGAAGGGGCGGGACTGAGTGGCGCGCGCTGTACTTCGTGCTGTGCCTGCCTGGGTTGCTCTCAGCATGGAGGAAATTTATGCTAAGTTTGTATCACAGAAAATCAGCAAGACCCGTTGGCGACCATTACCTCCAGGGAGCCTGCAGACAGCGGAGACTTTCGCCACGGGCTCTTGGGACAATGAGGTACCCCTGCGCCCGGCCGGGATTCCCTGCCAATTCCTTCCAGGAACCGCGCCCCCGGCCGTCAGCGCGCGAACTCCTGTTTTCTAGCTCCTCGCGCGGTTCTCTGTCTCCCGAATGCATGTCTCACGCTCGGTCGCCTTATACCTGAGAGCCATCAGTGGCCTCGTTTCTTGTGTTTTTGGTCGCCGTTTGCCCGGGATGCTTTTAAAGCAGGGTTGATTGAAGGCAGTGCACATTTCAGCTTCGGGGAGTTTGACGTATATTTCATCTCAAGATGAAATTTTCTGCTTTTCAGGAAAATTATGTTTCACTGTGGTCTATTGGAGATTTTGGAAACTTGGATTCTGATGGAGGATTTGAAGGAGATCATCAATTATTGTGCAGTATCAAACATCATGGTGATGTAATGGATTTACAAGTACGTATGTTGTAATATCCAAAAGCTAACTTTTAAAAAATTGAGAGTAATACATTGAGAGATGTGAAGGACTTTAAAGTTTGTCTAGTCTTACCCCGGGTTTACAAGAACTTGAGTTCTCTGTGGGTTATGATTTGCCAGCGTCATATAGCTGGTTATGGCAGAATCAGCAGTGGGGAAGGGGATGTGAAGTTGATCGTAGCTTGTTTGTTTAATTGACCATCTACTGTGTGCCAAGCTGTGTTTACATAAGTTAATTTCATTCTCATGGGATGCTGGTGAATCAAGTATTGTTCTCTCTTATGAGAAAACTGAGACTAAGATGTTTTGAGGATGGCCTATGTGACAAATACTGTACAAGGCACTTTACATGTTTTTGCTTTTTGAATTCTCGTTTTACAAGTTTACCAAGGCATGGAGAACTTAACTTGGCCAGGTTTCAAAGCTGGTAATAAGTGGTGGGAATGGAATTAAGTTTTCAAATTCTGATCTGTAAGACTTCAGAGTCCCTGCATTTTCTTCTGTGGAAAGCTGCCTGATCCTGGGAATTATGCTCTCCTAAACCTTTATGGTAGTTGTACAAAATTTAATTAATTGTAGATGAACAGGTTTGGGGGGGAAATTATTGTTTATTCTTCATGAAAATACTTTTATTTGTATAGCAGTTTTGACTTTCATATTTTATTTGCTTAGCATCTGTAGGCCCTTTGCATTTTAAAATTGTTACACTGCTAACTGAGTTAGACAGATGGGCTTCCTCCCTGCTGATATTTATGAATTTATAACATGCAGGAATTTTCTGTTTAGTTTTTTGACCAGGAAAGAATTGTAGCTGCGTCATCGACAGGATGTGTGACAGTTTTCCTCCACCATCCAAATAACCGGGTAAAGAACTTTTGTTTGAAAACTCAGTTTGCATTTTAATTATTTTTAGGAAGGTTTAGAGAAGGCTGTACTTAATAATGACAAATAATAAAGTTTTATAGTCTCAAAAACTATAAAAAGGAGGGGGAAATGTCATTGTATTACCCATCTTTTAGTAGATTAATTCTAGAACCATTTCTTTGTGAACTTTCATTGAAATTGGGTAACTCTTCAATTTTCTTAGGTTGAATGTAACAGTATGGTATTCTGGCAAGTAATTTATCTGTAACTGTCTTTTAAGATCCTCCTCTGGTTGTTTGAAGAAAGAGCACTTACTAGCTCAGGCATCGTGAGAGGGAGCGGGAACTGCTGCTTTCCTTCTGTGGACAGAACCTAGGTTTTAATTAGAAGGAAAGACATACTATATGAAGGCTTGACACTTTTTCAATGCCTTTCTTGTATGTCAAAGGCTGAGAGTGCTGACCTTCAGAGCACAGTGGTAAGGGCAATCCTTTAAAATAGCCCCGCTTGAAGTAACAGTTTTCAGTTGCTGGAAGAGAATGCTTATTTAGATTTGGATATTAATAAAGGTCATCTTACTAATAGGCATACCTAGTGATATAAGACCCAGATCTAGTTAAATGTTATTCTTAACAGAGTCATTTGGAAAGCCCTGCAGAGATTTATCTCTTCAATGTAGGTCAGTTCCCTTAAGAATTTAAAGTTGCCTTTGAACACATAATTACCTGATACTTAAAAACTGTTTCTTTAGTTTGAGATAAATTTGGGATATTATTAAACATTGTTTCTTTTGAATCTAATCTGGTGAATACAGAGCTTTAATGGAAGTATTTCCTAGACCTTAATACTTGGAAATACAAAGGGAAAAGAGTACTATTTTTCTAGAAAGGTATGAGACACAGTTTTAAAATAATAGTTTAGTTGGGGAAAGGGCTATTTTTTTGGAGCTTTGCTTTAATTAATCGTAGCCTCATTTCTGACACCTAGACTCTATCAGTCAGCCAGCAGTGGACAGCAGCTCACTACCACACAGGTCCAGGCAGTCCTTCCTGTAGCAATGCACCATGCACGGGCGTTGTGTGCAACAACCCAGAAATTGTTACAGTTGGAGAAGATGGCCGGATAAATCTCTTCAGAGCTGATCACAAGGAAGCTGTAAGAACTATAGGTAAAAAAGTCATCTTTCTTTGGCCTATCTTACAGTAATTGAGCACCTCCCATGTGCAATGCCAGGGGTTTAATGTTTGAGGGATTTAGAAATATACAAAGCAGGATCCCTTTATCAAGATAGTATGTTGATAAGGCCTGTATGAAGAACTGAATAGAAGAAAGAGAAATTTGTGGGGAGGAGGGTTGGAAGGAATTATCGGATAAAGAATTGAGGGGCAGGACAATTCATTAATCTAGATTCTAGACAATAAATAATACTAAGAAGTGGCACACCAGATACAGGGAATAGCATAGAGGCAGGGTAAGGCCGTGCAGAGAATGACAGAAAGTGTAGTCTGACCTGACTTTAGGTATTTGTATAGGAGAGTTGAGAGATGAAACAAGAAAGGTAAATTGCAGTCAGGTTGTGAAGAATCTAACACATATTTTAGGTAGGTGGCTGAGGAGCCATTGAAAGTTTTTGAGAAAAGGGGTAATGTACCCACATCATGTTTTAGAAGGATTATTTAGTTCAGTGGTAGTGGTTTAGTTGCTAAGTCATGTCTGACTAGTGTAATAGTTCTCAACCATATTTTGTACAGACTTGCCTGAGGAGATTTTTAACAGCCTATCACCCTAGACCTCCTGAATTAGAACTTCTATGAATTGAGCCCATGAATCAGTTTTTTGTATTGTTATTATTTTTAGTTCTGAGGAATACCATTTGTTTAGCTTTGAAAGACTTCTGGCCTGGTGACAGTTTGGAGGAGGGTCACAAAACAAAAGTTTTTAAGTATATACTAAATAAAGATGTGTAAGCTTAGACACACTAGGAAAAACAGAAGGACCATGAAAGCAAACAGGAAGAAGTTCATGGCAGAAGAGAGAGCTGATAAGGATAAAGATGAATTGATTTGAGATGAGTCAGCAGAATAACACAGGGTCAGAATGAGCTCTGTAGGAAGCTGTGGTGTTTGGCCCAACAGAATGAAGGTTCTGGAGGAAGCAGTTCAGTTCAGTTGTTCTTTGTGACCCCATGGACTGCAGCACGCCAGGCTTCCCTGTCCATCACCACCTCCTGCAGCTTGCTCAAGCTCAATGTCCTTCGAGTCAGTGATGCCATCCAACCATTTCATCCTCTGTCACCGCCTTCTTCCCCTGCCTTCAGTCTTTCCCAGCATCAGGGTCTTTTCCAATGAGTCAGTTCTTCACATCAGGTGGCCAAAGGATTGGAGCTTCAGCTTCAGCATCAATCCTTCCAATGAATATTCAGGACTGACTTTCTTTAGGATGGACTGGTTTGATCTCCTTGCAGTCCAAGGGACTTCAAGAGTCTTCTCCAACACACAGTTCAAAAGCATCAATTCTTCAACACTTAGCTTTCATTACAGTCCAACTCTCACATACATACATGACTAGTGGAAAAACTGTAGTTTTGACTACACAGACCTTTGTCGGCAAATAATGTCTCTGCTTTTTAATATGCTGTCTAGGTTGTCTAGGGTGAAGCAGTGATGGGAGATAAAATTGGATTATAAAGGGACTTGGACAGCTGTCTCAGAAATGGAGGGTAGTACTCTTACGTGGAAACAGAAATATGTGAAAACTTAGTCCTCTATTTGGAAAACAGTTCAGATGTCCTGTGAGTGATATAATTTTTCTACCAAAGGAGAGTCCATTTTAACATATGTTCCCATATTTTTCCATAGAAATAAAACTGTGACTTATTTAAAATTTTACTTGTAATCTTTCAGTCAACAGAGGGAAGGCTGTTTAAGGTATTCATGGAAAAGTGGTGGCCTGTTAACATACCCTGCGGTTTTTTTAATTTACAGACAATGCAGATAGCAGTACACTCCACGCTGTAACCTTCCTTCGAACTCCTGAGATTCTTACAGTAAATTCAATTGGACAGTTAAAAATATGGGATTTTAGACAACAAGGAAATGAGCCCACTCAGATATTATCACTGTAAGTTTTGATTTGTAATTTCAATAGTGTAAAACAAATTTGTTTATTTATAGCAACTAACTTTATAAGCCATATTGTATTTTAATTGCATGTTAAGAGTAATTTCTGATTAACTTTGATAAAGCAAATACAGTTGACCCTTGAACAATATAAGGGTTAGAGTCACTGACCCTCTATACACGCAAAAATCCATGTATACTTTATAGTCAGTGCTCCATATTCCAGGAATCCTCTGTACCGAAGGTTCCACCTTCCCAGATTCAACCAACCTCGGATCATGTTGCAGTGTACATCTACTATTGAAAAATACTCGTATGTAAGTGGACCCATGTTGTTCAAGGTCAATTGTATAATTTGATGGGCTTGATAATACCTTGCTGCATTTAATAAATATTTGTAATATTGATTCAGAAGTTTATATTTTCTCTTTGAGGTGTATATTAATTAATGGGGTACTTATTTTTGCTCATCAGATGATCCTATTAATAGTGAAATAATACACTCTAGATGTGATTGGGAGGAAAATATGGTCCAAGATACTTTTTCTAACAGAAATCCCCTTTCTATGTGTGCAGCCTCCTCTTCTCTAGATAATAGTATGTGTCAAACTGAAAAATATATATGTAAACTAAGCATTAAATAAGACAGAGCAGAAGTAAGGAGTATGTTGTTTTGTTGATATATAATGCTTTTTAAAAGCTGAGAAACGGGAAGCAACCTAGATGCCCATCAGCAGACGAATGGATAAGGAAGCTGTGGTACATATACACCATGGAATATTACTCAGCCATTAAAAAGAATTCATTTGAATCAGTTCTAATGAGATGGATGAAACTGGAGCCTATTATACAGAGTGAAGTAAGCCAGAAAGATAAAGACCAATACAGTATACTAACGCATATATATGGAATTTAAAAGGATGGTAACGATAACCCTATATGCAAAACAGAAAAAGAGACTCAGATGTACAGAACAGACTTTTAGATTCTGTGGGAGAAGGCAAGGTTGGGATGTTCTGAGAGAACAGCATTGAAACAAGTATACTATCAAGGGTGAAACAGATCACCAGCCCAGGTTGGATGCATGAGACAAGTGCTCAGGGCTCGCACTGGGAAGACCCAGAGGTATGGGGTGGGGAGGGAGGTGGGAGGGGGGATCGGGATGGGGAATACATGTAGATCCATGGCTGATTAATGTCAATGTATGACAAAAACCACTACAATATTGTAAAGTAATTAGCCTCCAACTAATAAAAATAAATGGGAAAAAAAAAGAAAAAAAATAAAAGCTAAGAAATGGAAATATTTTGCATATCTTACCATCAAATTTTCTTGTTCCATATGTGTCCAAATTGAAGAGAGAATGAATAACTCTAGGCTTTAATTCCCCCTCAGAATTCTAGTATTTAGAGGTATATTTAATGAGAGATCTTGTCTGGAAGATCCCATGGACAGAGGAGCCTGGAGGCTACAGTCCATGGGGTCGCAAAGAGTTGTACACAACTGAGCAACTTCACGTTCACTTTCATATTTAATGTAGTCAGGTTTTTGACATAATTTAAGTTTACCCAGTAGCTCCAGCCACAAAATTATCATTTAGTTAATGGGATAACACTTGTTTCATGGGTTGTTCAATGATTAATTACACTTTACCACTGTTTGAAGTCATTGTATTTCCCATTAAAGGACTGGTGACCGAGTGCCACTCCACTGCGTTGATCGACATCCCAACCAGCAGCACGTTGTAGCTACTGGAGGCCAGGATGGAATGTTGAGTATTTGGGATGTTCGACAAGGTACAATGCCTGTGTCTCTGCTGAAGGCTCATGAAGCTGAAAGTAAGTCTTGTGAAGATACATGAAGTTTTTGGTGGGTGAGCTATACAATGTAGTGTTAGCAGATTTCCATAAATGATACATATGGATCATTCTACAGCAGAACTTTTGACTGGATTGAATAGATTTATAATAATTAGCAGAGAAGGCAGTGGCAACCCACTCCAGTATTCTTGCCTGGAGAATCCCAGGGATGGAGGAGCCTGGTAGGCTGCCATCTATGGGGTCACACAGAGTCAGACATGACTGAGCGACTTCACTTTCACTTTTCACTTTCATGCATTGGAGAAGGAAATGGCAACCCACTCCAGTGTTCTTGCCTGGAGAATCCCAGGGACGGGGGAGCCTGGTGGGCTGCCGTCTATGGGATCACACAGAGTCGGACACGACTGAAGTGACTTGGCAGCTGCAGCAGCATAATAATTAACTCCTTTTTTATTTGACATTTACATTCTTTAACATGCTTGTTATACATAAAACTGTAGTGATTATCCATATATGTTTATCTTTATGTGCTTATTTTTTAGGATAATTTTTAGAAATAGAATTGATGAGTCAAAAAGTTGTTATAATTTTAAAGCTGTGATTCATGTTGACAAATTGTTCTACATAAAAATAATAAACAGTTTATATTGTCATACCCAGTATGTCAGAATGCACTTTTCCCATGCAAAATGCAGGTTGTTATTTTTAATATTTGCCAGTCTGTGTGTTCTTCAATTTATTATTATACCTTTTTTTTTTTCTTTTAGCAAGAACAAAAGATATAGGCTCTTGCCTTTTTTTTTGTTTGTTTTTTTATTTTAGTGGAGATGTTTTGGCTGAACAGAAATGTTTCATTTTATCACCACAGGTCAGGGTGGATTATAGTTTTAAATTCTGTCTTAGGAAAAGTTGGTATTAATGCTTGAATAAAAGTGTAGAAGAGCAAATGTTATACCAGTATTGTAACTTCGAAGCTATAAAGTTTCACGTCATTAATACTTGGGGAAGATAAATAGTTTTTAAGATTATATATAAGAAGCAAATAGAAACTGTTTCCCTCTTCTCTGTATGGCTCTGTGGGGCGGGGCAGGGGGGAAGAGGGGGGAATGAATAGGGTATGCATCAGAGTCTGTTGTTGCTAACCTAGTGGTAGGTAGAGTTATAAACTTTCAAAGCTCTTCTCACCAGCCTATTTTTAAATGCCAGCCTGTATTGTTAAGCAGAACACACTAGTGGCTTGTAGTGTATTTCGATTCATCCTGACTGTTGGCTAGAGGTTTGTTTTCTAATTGGAAAGTATATAAATACGTAAGTGTCTAGATTTGGGCAGCCTGCAATGGCTCTATTAGGCTTTTCTGTTTTACTTTGTTTTAGTGAAACAGCATGAATGTACTTTACACAGTCACCCAGAATACATTCTTTTCTGGAGGAAGGTCACCTTTTTGTTCTGCAGCATGTTTAATTGTGGTAACTGTCAGGATGAAAATGCCAGCTTGCAAACATGTGCCTTGCACTTTTTATACGACACTCTGGGTGCTTTCTGTGCTGCCTCTGTAAGCCTACCTAACCCAGGATCACAGAAGCCTTGCTCACAGATTCCTTTTTTCACCTTCATGCTGCAGATAACTTCCTGAGGAGTCCTGGCCAGCCCTTGGCTCCCAGGTGACTGTTGGCACATAAAGTTCCCTTAATGCTTAGAGCTTGAGGTGCCCCCAGTCCCAAGCTGGCTTCTTAAAAGTCCTCCATCTGAAACTGGATCCAGATTCTTGAAGCCTTTCCAGGTTTTGGCTTGTTGAGAGCTAGTTGCTATTTCTGTGATACAGAGCAGAGTCTTGGCATGAGCCAAAATTGGACTCTGCCTCTTAGAACTTCATTTGTATACTGCTTTTATGGTCTTCCCTCTCTCCCTTTCCAATAATAAAACCTTCAAATATTAATGACATAGAAATTGAAAATGAAAGAACTTAACAATTTTCAAAAAATCTTTTCAGAATTATCCCATTGTTATATTGGGTTGGCCAAAACTTTGTTCGAATTGCCATAAATTGATATGAAAAAACCTGAACACACTTTTTGGCCAACCCAATACTCTTCCATATAAAAAAGCAGTAGGTCAGATGACTAGTGTTTATTTTCATTCATTTGCTGGCCCGATACACCAGTAGATTTACTTGACGTCTTTATCCTATCTACATGTTTCAGCCATTTGAAGCATTATATTATGCTTTCTCTTTGACACTGAAGCCTTTGATTTTTATCACAGGCTTGGAGTTTGAAGGTGTGTGATGGAGGTTAACGGACGATATGCCTAGAGGTAGGGTTTTGATGTTGGTTTAACTGACCTTGGCTCTTATCTCACAGTGTGGGAAGTTCACTTTCACCCATCCAACCCAGATCACCTGTTCACTTGTTCTGAAGATGGATCTCTCTGGCACTGGGATGCCTCCACAGACGGGCCTGAGAAATCGTCACTCTTTCACCAAGGTAAAATGTTTTGATGAAGATTCTTGTGGGCAACTTGAGATTATATTTTTATATACTAAATGAGAAATACTCATATTTTTAACATTAAGGAATGACAGAAGGTTTCCATTCTGTGGCCTCAGGGTAAATTTTAGTATCACAGGACATGAAATCTCTCAGCTGCTGACCACTATACTGCTGACAACTAGAAATGCTATTAGCTGGCTAACTTTGTAAGTACATTGTTGTGGGCCCTCATGCCATAGAATAGGCACTGATCACTCTCTTACGTTACATTGTCAAAGGTGTATGACAAGACAAAAGTTGATCTTTTATGTATTAAGGTACTGGTTTCTCAGAATAAAAGGCTCTGTCTCCTGATTAAAGACAGGTAAGTAAAGGTTGGACTTCCCAGGTGGTGCTAGTTGTAAAGAACCCACCTGTCAATACAGGAGACCTAAGAGGTGCGGGTTCAATCCCTGGGTTGGGAAGATCCCCTGGAGGAGGGCACGGCAACGCACTCCAGTATTCTTGCCTAGAGAATCCCATGGACAGGGGAGCCTGGTGGGCTACCGTCCATAGGGTTGCAAAGAGTTGGACACGATTGAAATGACATAACTTAAGTAAAGGTCATCCAGAAACTATACACTTAAAATCAAGAAGTATTTTTATTTCTATTTTTGGTATTTTCTAAGCTTCCTGTTTTTGAGCTTGCCTGTGACCACAAACTTTGTTCAATCACTCAGCAAATGTTTATCAAGTGCCATGTGCTAGGTACTCTTCTAGGTCTTAGAGCCCATGATAGTGAGCAGAAAAGCCTTGAGGCACGTAGAGCAAATATTCCAGTAGACAGTAAGTCAGTAGATGATGTTTCAGTAAAAGTTCAATCAGAAAAGCAGAAACTACCCTGGGTTTAGAAGGAATTGTTTTCATGTGTGTTGGGCTAGAAGAACGAAGAGCAAATAGCAAAAAGGAGGAATGCCCAGAAATGAACAGTTGTTAGTAACCTCCACTGTCCTGTTACAAGTGCTGTCAGAGTTGGCTCTGGATCAGCAGAAAAGGTGCCACCTCAGCTGGGGCCGGAATCACTGTACTGTCAGAAACCTGGAGCTTTTTCCACCCCACCCTACTCCCCACAGCCTTTCTGCCTTCTCACCCGCAATAGTTATCTCCCACACGCCGGCTTGCCTGGAAGGCAGATGGCAAGGGAGCCTGGCAAAAGGAATTCACTCCTACAGTACATAGCAGAGCACAGCAAAGGAGACAGAGCAAAACGGAAAAGACCTGATCAAATACCCTGATGACGATGCCGAAGAGTGGAGAGAGGAGGACGATAAAAAATTAATCGGGGAGGGGCCACGGGGCAGAGGAGAGAAGATCTGAGCAGAGACCTGAAGAGATGAAAGTAGCAGTCACAGGCAGCATTCCAGGTAGAGGAAACACCAAATTCCAAACGCCTGAGGCTGAGACAGAAGGGCCAGTGTGGCCGCCGCTCAGCAGGCCGGAGGCGGAGTAGGTGGTAGGGCGGAGCTGAGGAGCGGGGCTCTGCAGACTGGGAGCGGGCCTGGGATTTCCTTCTGACGTGACCCAGAGCCACTGGAGAATTCTGAGCAGGGGAGTGGGGTGATCTGTCTTAGGTTTCCAATCAGTCGCTCTGGCAACTGTGGGGAGAGGGTTGGAAAAGTGGAAGCAGGGAGACCAGGAAAGAGACTTTGCACAGTGGTTCTAATGTTCCTTTTCACGGTATTCAAGAGTAATATAAGACATCGGAGCAAAAGGTAAACAGAAACTAAGAAGGAAAAGGCCAAAACTTCTCCCGAAAAATTCTGGAAAAGTATGCAATGTGCGGAGCATGGAGTATGCCTGTGTTAATAACTTCATGTATGGAGAAACTACTAGTTTTATTCGTTTCTAATAAATACCCAGGAGTAGCTAAGCACTTGGTTTTTTATTTCTTCTTCTACCCCCACTATCTTGCATTTGAGATTTTATAGTTTGAAGAATGCTGGTTAGATTAGAAATAGTCATTTACTATATCCTGTGTCTGGTATTGCAAGGAACAGTATTAGACACTGTGAAAAAGTAAAATAATCTATACAACCTGCTTTTAAGGAATACTTAATTTAGTTTTAATTTACGAGAAGGGGCCACAGAAAGTTAAATCATGATATAAGAAATGTTGCAAATAGTAAATTATTAGGGGTGCATACAAGTGCTGAGGGTTCCAGGAAGGAAAAGAGAAGCATGAACTAGAGACATCTGAACAGACTTCTCAGAAAAGGAAATTGAGCTGGGCTTTAAGAATCAGCAAGATTTGAACCCACTAATTTTTAAACTTCAAGGTATGAGAAACTTTGCCTTGTATTTCCAGCACTTAGCACAGAGCCTGGCATATAGTAGGTGTCAAACCATTTATTGAGAGTAGATGAAACCTGTCTTTATTTGATCTGGCAAAAAGTAGAAAATTTCAAATGAAGGCTAAAACTATAATTAATTATATGTTAAATGCAGAGCACTGTCAGAGATAAAAGTTTATAATTTGGTAGTGTTCTAAAATTCTACTTTTAAGAATATTTACCTAAAATAAACTCAAGAATAAAGGGAGATCTACAGCAAGTTGATTATATTTTTAGAAATATACAAATAAATATATTTTTAGAAATACTCAGAAATACATCCAGAAATTTTCTCATGATCACTTCATTTTTTGATTATCTAACCATTTAGGTTTCTACATATTATCTACATCTGTTCTACTTGTCCTTTAGCCATTTTGCTACATTTCTGAGACCTTCCATTAAAGTATAACCAGGAAGACAGGGTCAAAATGAATCCTATGCTTTGCTGAAGAGTTCAAGTTTGAAAACCATATTATCCCATTAAATGATGTTTAATATCACTGACTTAAAAGCTTTTTGTCAAAAACAGTGATGTGTTATAATGGAATCATCAGCCTGTTATTCTTGAGAGTTAAAACAAGTTTATATCATTACATTTTTTTAAATATTAGAATTTCAGATATTTACTAGTATAAAATTGGTCTTGAACAATGTTTTCCCCTTTTCTTTTTGTTCCCAGGAGGAAGAAATAGTACTTTTTTGTCTCATAGCATTAGTAACCAAGCTAATGTTCACCAATCTCTTATAAGCTCCTGGCTCAGCACTGATCCTGCCAAAGATCGTATTGAAATCACAAGCTTGCTTCCTAATAGGACTTTGTCTGTGAACAGTCTGGATGTTTTAGGTCCTTGTCTTGTTTGTGGAACGGATGCAGAAGCAATTTATGTTACTAGACAGCTTTTTTCATGAAGATACTAAAAGATTTTAGGTAAAACATAATACAGTTACAGCCTTTCAAATGCCAATTTCTGTGCAAATTTTTGTTATTGGAAAATGTGAAATTTGTAAGGGAAACATCCGTAAACTATTGTTAATGTTGATGCCCAGTCTGTTAGTTGAATATTGCTCTAACAGTTGCTGGAGTCTGATTGATGACCCATGGCAACAGAATTGAAACATGTGGCGGAACATCTGTGATAAATGCACTGCCTTCGGCACCATTCTAGACAGCTCATGGAACCAACTCTCCATTTTAGATGCTGTAGGGCTTACTAATGTCAAACCACCAACAGGTTCCTTTCCTTTTTATCAGCAGTATGTGGGGAATGGTATGCCCCTCCCTGGTGACATTTTCCAATACTAGTATTTATTCTCTGTACTGCAAGTATTTCTTCAGTTCTTCAACATTTTATTTCCTTAATAATTTCAGTAAACTTTCTTCAGTAAGAATTGAGTAGAGCAAAAATGACAGTTTTTGGTAGTGTTCAAATTTTTATTTAAAGTGAAAAATGTTTCAATGGGTTCCTTTATTAGAATGGGTTTGAATAGAACTCTGTCACCTCCTTAGACCCAGCTTTGTTTCTCTTGAAATGAAAAAAGACAAAATACATTTTTCCTAAGAATTTTTGCTTTTATTTAGTTTTTTTACACCATAGTTGAAAATTGCTGAATTGGACATTGTGCAATAAAATAGGATTTGACATTGGTAAGTGAGCCAGCTTCCAAACTAAAATTTGAGAGGTAACATGTATGAGACTAGCATGATGATGTGATAGGAGTAAAGAGTTTTGCTATCCTTAATTTTAATATTAATGATGACCTAACACATTTTGAGACAGTTTTATGATACTGTCTTTCCAAAGTTTGTTAAGAGTAAATGCATCATTGAATTGTAAAGACCTTAATGAAAGATCATTCCTGTTACACAGGAAGTGTATGTTTATTTACTTTACAGTTCCAACAACAGATAACTATGAGTTTTTGTCTTTCTGGCCCAATAAATATTTTCAGTTTTTTTATGTTGACTTACTCTCAGGATTTTGGGGGTTTGGAGTTTTTTTGGTCTACATTTTAAAATAGAATATATATATGCATTTGTTGTTCTGTATGTATGTATTTGGCTCAAAAAATAATTGACTAAAGGTATTTAGTACCTTTGAATTCCAAAGACTCAAAGACGGAAAAAAATGTTGCTGATAGGAATTTTTAATCAGTTTCTAGTTTTATTGCTGGGGCTAATTTTTAAAACTTTGTTATTACAAAAGCCATTCATTACAGAAAAAAGCAGTCAAAAGAAAAATTAAAGTACTGATAATCTCAAACAGACACAGTTCTTTTCATACCACTTTGTATCCATTAATGTAAATAATTTTTCATAAAAAATGAAATATACTTGTTATATTTGTGAATGCACATTCTCTCACAGTAAATACACAGATTCGGTAATAAAAGTATAGCTAAGAATTGTCCTTTTGGCTTCATACTTCCCTTTATAGGAATGCCTTACTGCAGCCTAAGCAGCAGCGCCCCTCTCTTCACTTAGCAGAGGCATCCTCGCATTCCACTCGGCAGCTCAGCATCCTTGCTTTGAACGGGCCCAGAGTTGATCCTCATTCCTGGGAGACCCTGGCTCCCAAGGGGCACATTTTCCATGTTCAGTGAATGGCAAATGCTTTGTGGCTCTGCTTTAATCATATTACCTGCTGCTGAAAAGTTGAAGGTTTCATGAATGCTGTTAGCACCCTTCTCAATTTCCAGCAGTAATGTAAATAATTTCTCTTGATTGTTATAGTAAATAATCAGTAGAGGGAGTGAACCAGATATATAGGCTTAGCATACTAGCTTGGACTGGAAACAAGTTTGAAGCTTTGATTTGATTTAAGGGTATTTGTAACCATAAGTAAAAGAAAGTACATTTGAATAGTGTTACATTTTCTATCAGTTGATGAGTTCTGCCAGATGTAATAAGAAACATAAGCTTTATGTAGTATAAATAAAACCCTTATTTATGAATTTGTTCATTCTCACTGCTTTCATTCATGAAAGCTATCAAATAGTTTCTTTTGAGGGCTCTAGGATCTCCAAGGTGAGCGATATCTTTGAAGGCATCTCCAACCTAAATTTAATCATCACATCCACAGATTCCCAATGAAAAATTTTCATCCAGCCTCTACTTGAAAATACATGATGATAAAGTCTCCCATTTCCCAGTGTAGCCTCCTCGTTTGGACAGCTGTAAGTGATATAGCACATGGCAAGGTTTTAATGTGTGAGTGGGGTCCTAAACAATCCTATAAAAAAGGTAGAATCATTATTGTGGGTTAATGAAATGATCATGTGAACCTACTACATAGTAGGTTCACTATGAGACAAAGCCAACCACCAGTCATTTTATGGAATTTCCATTGTGTTGGGGTACTTTAAGTTTCCACTAAATAAATGAATTTTCACATACTGAACTGAAATTTGCCTCCATTTGTCCTCTTTACTTGGGAGCCACATAAAGCAAATTTAATTTCTTTCAGCATATATTCAGATATTCAAAACTACATATTGTAGCTGCTTTGGGGTAAACTTTTAAAATCTCTTTAGTGGTTTCTTGTGGGCAGGTTCCCTGTCCCACCTTTTTTGCCCTTTTTGGCTAAATCCGGCTTACCTTTCTGAACTCCTTTTAGGTGTCATTTTCTCGAGAAAGCCTTCGCTGGCCTCTTAACAATCTGGGCTAAATTGTACTCTGCATCAAAAGCCCATTGTGCAGAACTTGTACTGTGCTTCCTGCCATCTGCTGAGCAGCCTGTCTCCCTCTACTGGAGCATAATCCCAAGAACAGGGCCCATCTCTGAGTTAACACAACATCTGATAACAGTAAGCCCTGAATCAGTCTGAACTAAATTAAATTCACAATTATGTTTTCCCTTTTTTAAAAAAATGCCTCATTTGCCGAAGACCACCATTAAAGTGTGACTTCCAAAATTAATACTTTCTCAGTGCTATCTGCCTTGACTTGCTAAGAGTATGACAAATCTATATTGGTTCTGGGTACAATATTCCTTTGTAGTGGCTGTCTCAGCCTTTTCTAACTATTTTGATACTTGTTCAATTAGAGTGCTAATTTAACTTACACCTTTAATTTTTCACACCTGATACTCCCTAAACCATACCTCCCTATTCTGAAGTTAACGCCAATGGTTTTGATTCTTGGAATGGGTACATCCTTCCTGGTTAATAAGACAAGTGTTACGTCACTTTAGGAAAGAGCTAATGATCACCTTTCAGTCCTTTCTGCAGAAGCTGATCATTTTAGAATTGTCCAGCATGCTTGCTGCACCTTCATCCCCTTGGGTTAAATGGACTATAATGCTTAGGCACACTCCTAGAGTCTTCCCAAGTATCAGTGACAGCCAAGTCATTAGCATTCGGCTATAGTTGTTGAAATATTTGTAAACCAGCCTGATTTTTGACATTCGGCCCCATTCATTTATCTTGTTCACAAGGCTACTGTGAGAAAAACACCTGTGCTATAGCCATCTTCCTAGCCAAATTTTGGCATAATTGAAAAATTCCTTGTCCCTTGAGAATTAACACTTCTATTTCACGGTAGTGTGGAAACGTCATCCATTTAATAATCCATTCTAGAATCTTGTCTAAGGAGCATACTAAGTTCACTAGTGTAGAATTTATATCAAGCCTTCATTTAAGCTTATGGTATCAAGATATCTAGCTCAGACTAGTTAGATGATCTGAAGCAATAGATGTGCTCTTGTTTTACAGATAATGAAATCTGGGTAGAGCCAAATTATGATATGCAACTGTTAAACTATTTCACTGGTATCATTCTGAACCATAATGTTAAGTGGCAATACAGAATAAAATAACAAACTAACAGTCTCAGTGGTAAAGAATCCACCTGCCAATGCAGGAGACACAAGACACTCAGGTTCGATCCCTGGGTTGGGAAGATCCTCTGGAGGAGGAAATGGCAACCCACTTCAGTATTCTTGCCTGGAAAAATCGCATGGACAGAGGAGCCTGGCAGGCTACAGTCCATAGAGTCGAAGAGAGTCAGACAACTGAGTAACTGAGCATGCACACACATACTTGACTACAGTCATCTTAACATCAAAACATTTTCAACACTTCACTATATTAGAAGAGAAAGCCACAAAGGAGGTGGGGGTGAGAAGACAGAATTAGGGAGAAGAGACTAAAATCTAGCTGATTAGGTAAAAAATTTTAATTACAAACTGTCATGACTGGACTTGGGGGGAAGAACGGTTGACAGCCCAACATAGCCATCAGATATGCATCAGTTTTCAAAACAATTTTTGTACAGACCATGGAAATAAGCTAAACTGTAATTAATACCAGACTGTAAAATACTAGCTGCAACAAATCAAAACACACTATACTTACTCCTGTATAGTATGGAATCAAAATTTCTTAGCTAGAGATCCTACAAGCAAGGATACCTCAGTAGCAATGAGCACAACTTGAACCCAGATTTGGTTTCTAACAACGTTCTCCCAATAAAAGGAACCAAGACTCCTTGGAGGGCAAGAAATAAACCAGGTAGTTTAGAGCATTTTGCAGTGCCAGAAAGTGAGAAAGGTTTTTTTTGTTGTTTTTTTAAGCTCGCAATGATGGGAGTATGTCACAGGGACACAGAAGCTAACTGGAAGAGCTCTTAACAGCCAAAGCTGGAAAAATTTGATCCATTTTAAAAACTCCCAAACTATTACAGAAATATCCATAAGTCCACACTAATAATGTTTGAAAAAAACTGGAGACACAAATCTGCTCAGCATTCCAAGTAATTTATGTAGATTCTCTGCTCTCAAGAAGGTGGAACACAATCCTCCACTCCTAAGTGGAGAACATGACTTCTCACAGTTGAGAACCTTCCCCTAAGATACTCTGAACTGGGAAGGCCTGTGTCCTCAGGACCACGGTGCTCTGCGACTTCTTCCACGTGTGCTGCCTCTGTTCCTGCAATCACCCAAGCATGCCATTTGACCCCTTACATCTGTTGATAAAAACAAAATGAGACAACTTACTCTACATAAATAAGCAACAAGGATTTTCTGTATAACACATGGAATTACATTCAGTATCTTGCAATAACCTATAATGGAAAATAATCTGAAAAACATATACATTTAGAACTGGGTCACTGCCGTACACCTGAAACTAGCACAATATTGTAAATCAACTACACTTAACAACAACAAAAGCAAAATAACCTTCTTCCATGAAGCATTGAAGAGCTGAATAGGCCAAAGCTGGACCAAGGGTTTTCCATCACAGCGACACAAACACAAAGACCTTCAAACACAATGGCGTGTATTGTCATTCTTAAGACATCCAGCACTCCTAGTAGGTATTTCCTTGTCTTTCGCTTCCACCCCCTCCCAGTCTCTGCCACTTTTCATGTTGGTTGGTTCTTCTCTTCTGAGCACTCCCTCTCTCTTCCCCTGCTCTTTTCTCCCTTGGCTTCACAGGAGTCAACCTCTTAATATATAGTGAAATTTCCTGAGCTCCTTGAATTATCCTGGAGTTTTCCCAAAGACAGTAGTTTTTGGAGATATCCACCTTTAGGTTTAGAGAGATGAAGAGCTTAAGTTCTGAGGGTTGGTGACAGAAGTGACAAGTTTCAGGGAGCAGTCTGCTCTTTCAAATACATAATCCTTCTAGCAAGGGCAAGCAGGCCCGTGAACATATTAGATTGACAGAAGTCATAGAATGTTGAGGCTGAGATACCCTGCAGGTTACCTAGTTCTCCAGTTGAAGACAGTTAAGACCTAGGGCCACTTTGGGTCATATTTTCTACAGACTCTGTGATTGTGGAATATAGATTTTCAACCAACCCCTCCTGGAATGTAATCTTTTAACAGAGGGTTTCACATTTGAACTTCTGCATACAGTAGCCAACAACGAATTCAACATCAGAAAAGTCTTAAAAACAAATAGTCTCCTCTAGTTAAAAAAGGATGAGATATTTGAAAATACTAACTGTATATATTTTCTAGAGGCAGAATTGGCAAAGAGTCTCTGTACAATGGGTGGAAAGGACCTTTAAACATCATAAACTCAATGATCCTATCCGAAACTTTTAATTCAGTCTAACAAGAAATAAAGCCTCTTCTCGCGGTCATCATTATCCCAATTACGGCAATAATGACTTCTACCGATTCGGTTGGCCGATCAAAATCTCTAAACTCCCTGGTCTGTCCCGGTTCGAGAATATACTAATCCGGCTGATTCAGCAAATTCTTAAACGCAAGAATTCACTCGGGGAAAGTGCTAAGCAAAATTGTACTTATTTCAAAGTCTCTAGAAATCCCGAATCCCGAATGTCCACAGCTAGGTTTCAGAGCTCACTGCTGTTTCCTTTTGAGAATTAAACTCCTTCAGATACGCATCTTTTATTCTATACTCGGCCACAGAAAGAGCTCAAATTGAAAAGAGAGAGACACTGAAATACAGGAGTGGGCTTGGGAGGAGGGAGCCTGGCGCCACCAGACGGCGAGTCACTGGGCAGCGCGAGGCGGGGGCGACGCAGCCGGCGGACGCGCAGACTAGCGGGCGACCGCAGAGGGAGGGAGGCCGCAGGCGGCGCGCTCGCTCCCCGCCGCCTGGCGCGCAGAAGCCCCCAGTCCTCGGCCCCCGCGCAAGCGACGCCGGGAAATGCCCACATCCGGGAAACCTGCAAGGGAGTGCGGCGGCGGCGACACCGAGTGAAAGGCAAAATGGCGGCGGCGGCGGTGGCCTGGTGCTGAGGGGAGAGCCAGGTCCCCGCGACCTCCGCGACGGGCCGCGCTGGCCCGCGGCAGCCCCCCGGCGCCTCTGTCCGCCCTGCCCCCTCGGGGATACTTGGGGTCCCCGGGAAGGGCTCCGGCCGCCTCGGCGCCCGCCCTCGGGCCCGTGGCCGCTGTCCAGGAGCCCCGCTGTCCCCCTGCAGGTAGGTCCGAGGCTGGCGTAGCGGGTGGGGCGCACTCTCTCCTCTAGAACCTGAGTTGGCGGGGCGGTGGCCGTGGGGGCCCACGCCCATCCCCTCTGGCGGGGGTCCAGGAGCTGCTGTGGACGGGCGGGCCGCGGTGGCCCAGTGCGGGCCCGATTTGGCTGGTTGCACGGACCTGAGAGGAGCCCTGCCCTGGGGAAGCGAGGCTTGGCCGCGCCCGGGGCTGCAGGAAGAGCCCCGGGATTTGAGGCCTTGGAGGTTCAGGTTAGGCTGGGAGGGACCTGTGCCGCTGGAGGCCTTGCGCGAACTGTCTTCTCCCACTCCTCCACCCTTATCCCCAGCGCGCTCGGGTCAGCGGTATTTAGGAAGGAGGGAAAAGCGAAAAGTGGTTCTGAAGGAAATGTGCAGCAAAAGAGCCACAGTTCTTTCATCCCAGAGGAACCAGATGCTATATACCTTGAACAAATTCTGCGAATTTCTGTTTACAGTCCTCTGTAAATAAGGTACTGTACATAGTTGGAAGGGGTAGGAGAGCTGGAGGGATCATTACTGAGGAGTGTATATATAAACACAGAAAAGGAAGGAAAGGAAATTAAGGGGACACTGTTTATTATAACTTCAAAAAGAATTTGTATCACAAAGAATGACTTTCAGGTGACTTGATTTCACCCCATTCTCTCCGATTGAAAGTTGTTTTCTTCAGTTGAAAGGACTTCTCTAAGGGAGCAAAATTTAATGTCTGTTGACCCATATGTTCATATTACTCAAAATATATTATCGGGTAGAAGTTATTCATAAATCTGGTGGGAAATAGGTATAATCTCACACACAAATAATATTGTTTCACTCCAGTTTGGGAAATGGGTTTGAATCAGAAGCTTGTCAGGCCTTTATGGATTATATATTGGAGATTAAAAAAAATTTTTTTTTATCAAATTAACTCCATGTGGAAGAAGAGGTAGGACTCTTATCATTGGAATGAATATTCTCTGCTGAGGTGTCTACATTTGTGATTTAATAAGTTGACAGACAGGTAAAATGAGCTTGTTGATTCCCTAAGGCAATGGAGGAATTTGACTGATTTAACAGTAAAAGAAGTAGCATTGTGTTCCCCTGATCAGCTGCTACTGCAAGAAAGTAGATCATGGTACATGCCAGGGAAGGCACACTTTCTTTGTGCTTGAATATTTATTGAATGTGACTCAGCACTCTTCAAAAGCAAATAATAAATGCTTCTGCTACATATTTTTGATATGATATATAGATTTCCTTCTGTAGGTTCTTCGGTTTTCTCTTTTTTAAGTTTTTGTTTGTTTGCTTTTATATTTCTGGTTGTGCATGCAGGCTTTCTCTAGTTGTGGAGAGCGGGGGCTACTCTCTAGTTGCGCTGTGCAGGCTTCTCATTGTGGTGGCTTCTCTTGCTGAGATTCTAGAGCGTGGGCTTCAGTAGTTGTGGCGCTCAGGCTTAGTTGCTCTGCAGCGTTTGGAATCTTCCTGGACCGGGGATCGAACCCGTGTCCTCGGTGTTGGCAGGCGGATTCTTATCCACCAGGGAAGTCCCTTTGTTTTTGTTTTTAATGCTTCTCCTTGTTACTCTGCATAAATGTAGTATTGGAATAGTGTCCACTCTGATGATTTAGTTTTCCTTCTAGATATTACATTTAGATTAATGGGGGATTTTTGTTGACTGCAAAAGTAATTTAGTCATTGGTCAACATTTTTATCAAGTATAAATGGCAACCCTTTTTCAGCATGAAGATAAAATATAGTGATTGTTTTCACTTTTGATAAGTTCTTAGAAAGTGAGTTGGAGAAAACGTCATCAATATGCAGAGATTCTTGAATATTGCTGTGAGAGCAGCTAAGGCTTTGCTGCTAAGATGGTACATGTTACTGTTTCTGTTCTCATAGCTGATTTAGTCAAAGTATGGAGACATGCTGTCTTTTTATAAAACCAATCCCACCTAAGTAACACTTTGAAATCTCCTTCTGTAATGGGATCTATTCTTAAAAGCTGGACAAGATATCAGTGATATTTTTTGAGACTTACATTTGTACTTTTTAAAAAAATAAATATGATAATTTATTGTAAAAGGAAGAAATCTAGGGCATATTATTGTTAATGCAGCCCTTTTATCCCTGGAAAATGGAACTCATACTGAGCTTTGAATCTCAAGGGGAAAGGTATGGGGGAAGGGTATGGAAGGAGCTCATTTTGTTCTCTGTGTACATCAGAAAACTCTCTTAGCAAGCTGGACTTCCAAGTGTTGAATAATGGGATAGTCAGAACAGTTATGATCCCCAAGTTTATTTAAAAAAAAAAAAAGAAAAACCTTCTAATTTTGTGTTGGGGTATAGCCAATCACCAATGTTGTGATAGTTTCAGGTGAACAGCAAAGGGACTAAGCCATTCATATAATGTATCCATTCTCCCCCAAACTCCCCTCCCATCCAGGCTGCCACCCAACATTGAGCAGAGTTCCATGTGCTACACAGTAGGTCCTTGCACGTTTGATCAAGGTCTGGACTTTCTAGGAAATGGAGGTTTTGTCAGTCCAGTCTAACAAATTGAAGATTTCCTTCAGAGAAAGAATCATAATCCCTTAGGAAGACTCAAGATGTAGGTATAATAAAAAGAGCCCTGGACTGGTTCAGGTTATGGTGAGTCCATCTGTAGCATGACCTCCAGCTGGCTATATGATCTTAGGCAGGCCACTTTACCTCTCTGATCGATCTTCTCATCTGAAGAATATATACATATATATATATGTATATATATATATCCCCAAGACATCTTATGCTCTTGTGATTTAGCAGGAAAAGTAAATTTTATTTGACTATGCAAAGTGCATTTGGATAGGATAACATCTAACATTTCAATAAAAACTTCATGAAGGAAGCATTTGGATGGTACCTTAAAGGCTGGGTATCATTTCTACAAGAAATATGGCAGAGGTTTTCCCAAGAAGAGTGAACAGGAAGAGTAAGAACATGAAAGTAGAAAAGCACAAGGCACATTAGCTGAGAGCAAGTAATTTGGTTCGATTAGAGTGTCTGTTACATCCAGGAGAATCTGGGTGGGTAAGATGGTGAAAAGAGTAAGATAATAACATTTATTGAGTCAGGCACTTATTCTAAACATTTGACATGTATTAAACTTATTTAATGCTTAAAATAACCCTGTTTAAATAGGACTGTTGCCCACATTTGAAGATCACAAAGCTAGTTACTAGTGGAACTGGGATTTGTACCCTGCTCTTTGACCCAGATCTCTGGCTTTAATTACTAAGCTAAAGGAATCATTGAGGGCTCTGGAGTACTGAGGTAACATGGTCAGAACTATGTATTAGAAAGACTCATCTGGCACCAGTGTGGTATGGGTTAAAGAGGTAAGCTGTTAGGTGTTGAAGAGTTGTTTTAAAATTTTTCTCTACTTCTTGAGTTTTCACATATCAGTTTCATATTTGTTAATGCCAGGGTCAACTATACATTGTTGGAGGGTTTGTAAATTAATATAGCTTTTTGGAAGGCAACCTAAATAATAAGTATCAGAATTTTAAATACACATTCTCTTTGACCCAGCAATTCCTTCCACTTCTAGGTATTCATCTTAAAGGGAAATGCTCAATAATTGGCACACAAAGTGTTGTTTTTTTTAAATGGATTGTTTCAATGGTTACAATTCTGCAAATTTACTTTAAATGATTGAATTATGCACTTCATTATTTATTTATTTTTGGCTATACCACCGCATGGCATGTGGAATCTTAGTTCCCTGACTAGGGATCTAACCCATGCCCCATTGCAGTGGAGGTCCCAACACAAGAATTTTTATTGCTGCAATTTTTATTAACTTTTATATGTACAAAGAACATGTGTATACATGTAAGCTATGAAGCATAATAAAATGAATATCCATGAACTCATCACCCATCCTCAGAACTGGAATATTACCAATACAGTTGAAGTTACCAGTGTTTAAAACATTATAATAGCAAAATATTGGAAATAACGTAAAGGATCATCAGTAGGGGATAGATAGTTATGATACATCTACATGATGTAATTCAATATGGTTATTTTAAAAGATGAGGTTGAATTGTCAGTTTCCTCCACTCCATGATACCATTAATAAGTCTAAAACAAGCAGTCTTTTTAGTAAGTTTTTCAGGGCAAAGAAAATAAACTTGGTTTTTTAACTAAGCTTCAATGGCATACATTTATCCCTTCAATGCCTTTCAATTTTTCTGAGCTTCAGCCTTATTCACATTCAGAATCTAGAGTTCTTTTCATTTACTTTAGGCTTCATATAACATCATGATGGTGTGTTACTTTTTATAACCCCAGCTAATAATCTTCAACCTCTTTATTGTCTTTATGATTGAAATATAATTTGAGGCATATTGAAGAATACTGGAGTTTTGTCTTCCTTTCCTCTTTTCTTAAACTCTTAGTTTTTTTTTTTTATCTGAGTTGAGTGAGTTATTGCTAGAAATTAAACAACTTCTGAAGGTAACTCAAAAGGTTTTAACAGATATTTCTTGTCTGAGTGCTTGTCCTTCATAAAAGACTCTTTCCTTTGAAAATTCTGTGATCTCACTGAAATTTGACAGCTGTTTATGCCTTTAATTGCGTTGCATGTTGGATGACAGTTTCTGAATACATAATGCTACATCATAGTGAAATGTCTTCAAAGACATTTTGAGCATTAATCAAAGGTCTAGATTCAACCACATGTGGTGCTGCCAGTGAAAATAATGCAGTTGAAGTGACAAGGAAATTTGACCTTTTACTTATGGTCAAGTTACATGTGTTCTCTGCTGTTCTAGATCTTCTCTGCTTTGGAGCTGGCAAATTCCTTTTAATATTGATTTTAAGATATGCTCAATTTCAAAAATGTTAAAATGTGGAAAAGCATGTATCTTGGAATCAAGAAAACACTATACTTTCTATCCTAGAAAGACATTCATAGTACTGTGTTACTCTTGCTAGCAAGTTGG